CTAGATTAAATAAAGAATTTGGTATGAGTGGTGAAAGCAATCATTTTGCACTAGTTCAGGTGACCAGAACTCTCACAGGATGCAGAACATGTGTGTATCATTATCACTTACTGAGCAAAATCGACGAGATTTGTTGGTGCTCCTATAAAGAAACAACCGATGGGTATAGTCACAAGTATATCCAGAAGTAATGCATCGAAAGCAGGTTTTCCCAAAGCCTCAACGGAAGTTTGGAATGTAAGCCCTACCCAAAAGGTCTCCCAGCAGGATCTGACTCCTAGTTCACCTTTAAAAGAATCCATCCCTAAACTAACGTGCGCATTTGCCACCACATGAGATTCCTCTCACTTAGTAAAGGCCAGCATGTTGCCCAGGACAAGCTGCAGAAATCCTAGATTAGGCTATTGAGTAAAGCAGGCATCAGTAATTAAGCATAATACTTTCTTGTCTTCAGCTTTCATTAGTTTGTCCGCGTGATGGACCTGCTCACCTGCAGAATTTTAGGTGCGCCGAGCACTGGTTCCCACCTCCATCCAAAGTGCTGTGGAACAGTGAAAGGTCAGGTGTAACTGTAGAAGGTTTGTATGTGATTCTCAAATGTTATTACAGTTTAGATTACTGTTTCTCAACAGGTTTGTTGCAGGAGAACTAAGAAAGGTAATTTCTCTGCTCTAATCTGTATGCCCTTTCAAGTCAAGTGCTTTTATAGAAAATGGGAATGAGTTACAATGCTTTTCCTTTCAAAAAGAGTTGTCAACTTGAAAAGGTAATACAATGCTCATTTAGATGGCCCTGTACATTTACATATAAGCTATAATATAGGGGACTGACTGATGTCTGTTGATATTTAATGCTGAAATTGCTGGAACATGTTAATTAATGTGAGTTTTTCCTTTGGAGAAACATCTCTTTGAGATATAAGAAGGGATTCAGAACAGCCAAACAGAGTAAGGGCTGGTAATATATCTCATTTTGTAGCAAGTTTTCTTCCTAACAGTCTTGCTGTGGTGGAAAACACAAGGAAGTGTCTTTGAGTGAGCTGGTAAGCAAGAGAAAACTATACGCTTGTTGTTAAATCTTACATAGACACAGTTCTGGAAAGGATATAAGAAAACAATAGAAGTCAGTATGCAAGCAGGCAGGCAAAGAGGGCAGACTCACTACAGGAGCCAGCGGTATCAGTTTGGGCTCTTTGCTGAGATGCCAAGTGCTTAGTAAAAACTTTTGCTAGAAATGAACATAGAGTGTTTATTTCTCTCCCCTTAAGGGATGAGTCCTGCCCTATTTTTGTCCTCTCCTTTGAAGACATGACTCCTTTCCTTTTCTTTGAACATGCACATGCCATCCAGGGCAGTACTTAAGGTCAGAAGCTTCAAGCCGTTCAATCACATCTGTGATGCAAGAAGGAATAACTGATTATGACTGTAGCTATACTCATTTATGTGAGGGAGCAACTAGAATACATGGAGCTCCGCGTAGGGGTGGATGAAGAGCAAGTCGAGAGCCTATGGGTAAGGATTAAAGGGCAGGCTAACATGGGTGACACGGTGGTGGGGATTTACGACAGGCCACCTGATCAGGAAGAGGAAGTCGATGAGGCCTTCTACAGACAGCTCGAAGTAGCCTCACAGTCACAGGCCCTGGTTCTCATGGGGGACTTCAACCACCCTGACATCTGCTGGGAAGACAGCACAGCTAGACACAAACAGTCAAAGAGGTTTCTGCAGAGCATTGATGATAATTTCTTGACCCAGGTGGTGGAGACGCCAACGAGGAGAGGTGC